TCCATGTCTTTCACTTTGGACCTCCATTGTTCACGGTGACGATTATATCTTTCCCAAATTCTGGTCCTTCCGACATATGTCTCTGTCAAAAAAAACCATCGGAAAAAGGTCAACACTACTTTGTCAAAAACAAGTTCCAACAATCTATACACAAATAGAAATAATTAAAAAGGACTTTTGCGAGTACGAGAAAAAATTCATTGCATGATGAGTTGGTAGCAACTATCGGGTTTACTCGAACATGAAGTAAAAATGATGTCTTGAACCCCCTGGACTTTGGTGTAAACTGAGACAATAACTATAACACATGTTCATTCTCTCACAAAAGTAATTTCTCTATAGTGTTCATTTTGGCCCTAAATATCTCTGATTAATCATGGCATTTCCTTCATTCTCCTAAAAACGGTCTCATTTCACACTTAGAAGGTGATTTACCATTAATTTTGTTTAGAGGAGTATCATGTACTACTTCTTTCATATCTCAAAATAATGGACTCAAATCGTTAAATTAAATGCTTATCTTATAATCATTACATATAGAATTATATAATCATCATAGGTACTCGGTATAGACCAAATTTTGACATTGCTTTGGACATATTTAGTTTAACTTGGTTGTCTCTATGAATCTATTTCTTGGGATTTCCAGTCAATTGGGTAGAGCTACTGTTAAAATTCATCTTAAGTTCATAGGCATTCACCTATTCCTCTTGATGATATAACAATATGATCTCATGACACACCTTTAATAAATGGATGCTAGGTTGTCATCATAGTGAACATAATCTCTGGAGATTCGCCGAGATCAATTGTTTAATGATTTTTGTCATCTTTTTTCTAGATACAATTAACCATTTTACACAAAATTCAGTGTATAACACAATTTGTTTTTTAAATCATATTTTGATAACTTTCACGAAATTCATGTGGCCTATTGCTAGCGAGTTTATATGGTAAGCAAAGCTTTCTCCATATTTCTTAAGATAGCTCAAAACATGCATATTCACATTTAACATGTTTTAAGAGTTTAGAAAAGTTAATATACAACTCATTAGATTTAAATGAATAAAACAATTTTAAAAATTATTACAATTTTCCTAAAATTTTCTTTCACTCTAAAAATTTACATTTTTTCATTGAACTACTTTCAAGATTTTTTAAGTCGATTTTGAAATCCTACTTGTATGCTTGGGATTTTCCAAAACCCATTTTTATGCTTTTTAGTAATATACATATCATGACAAGATTTTATTTATGGCAGCGAACCATCGCTAAGTTTGGTTATTTTTAATCACATGTCAGTTTCAATCATATTGATATGATATTATTCATTTTTTTTTCATTTCAGAATTATGTTTAAATTAATCAGTCATGGAGCAGATTTATATATTTTACTAGGGTCGGTCTGCGCTCGTGCGGAATATACTTTAAATGTGATGTATATAACTGTGTTATTTTATAATTTAATTACATATATTTCATGTCAGCAATTCATGTAGTTATTTCCACCATCTGCATGCACAAAGTCTATATGTTTTTGTTTGTACTTCATATATTTCACCATTCGCTTACACGCAACCCGAGAAATTACATGTTAAGTGAGATGTTGTATGGATTACACTTCCAACTGGAATTTCCATTGCTAAAACCTGTGTAAGATTCAAGCATGAGTGGATTTTCGAGAGTATCACTGAACAGTGGAGATCTATCATGGGCTTAAGATCACAGTCATAAATGATCAATTAAGATAGATAAGAAAACATGTATATGGGACACTTAACTTTCTAATACTCTCTGTATATCCCTTTCTATTCAGATGTTAGCCTGACCTATACATTTTTGACACATAACTTCATAGTAACATCAATACTCTCTATATATTTGTCATTTACATATGAACTATATTTTTGTCATTTCCATATAAATTGTATCGTGAATGCTTTGTTTGTTAGATAATTAATGTGTACAATTTATTTCACTAGATGCATAGTCCCCGCGCAAACACAGAGGTTGGATACATTGTTGATGTGTTGTGTAGTTTTGTGTATGAGACTTTGCTGTTTTTTTTTAACATTTGTTTATATGGCTTATCTATAATGGTGATGAATGAAACATTAGAAGTCACACAACTTGATTAGTCTGATAAAAGAATAAACATCAAATTCATATGGGTTGATATTTTCATATTTTATCTTCGTAGTGATTTTATCGAGCATTCCCTTTATTAGTGATTTTATCGAGCATTACTATTATTAATGCTTTCATGTAAAAAAAAAATAATTTAATGGAGACAAGAAAAAAAAGGACATGTATTTATTAGTGTAATTTTCTTTCTGAAATTATGTTGTATATATATATATATATTTTTTTTAATTGTGATGTATATGAGATTTATGGCCGATCTGAATGGTTCGGGATAAATATTTATTATTGTAAAATATGTTTTTATTTTATTTGATTATTATAACTGAATTGAAATGATATTGGAGGTTAGAACATGATAACATTTCTTATAAAAGTATCTAAGATGGTCTCATAAAGTTTCAAATCCTTAAGCCATTTTGTATGCCAACAACCAGCATAAAAAATCATTATGAATCTCCTTAAGCTTTTAGGTATCCCGAAAAGCCAAAATTAAAAAAAAAAAAGTTACATGCAAAACACTGCGTTTCGAACCCGCGCACTCGCGGTACCAACTTCTAGTCACCAACTTACACCACTGGGCCATTTCATCACTCATCGATAACATTCAATCTTACAAAATGTTATACGTTTTTGTTTTCCCTAATAACACACGTGGGGCCCGTAAACTTGCTGAGGTGGATAGGCTTAAAAGCCTTGAAAGTGTATCATTATAATATAGATTGCTACAGTATTTTGATGTGAAATAAAAATAAGTAAAATTCTTGATCTTCGTTCTTGTAAATTATAATATTGAAGGAATATATCATCAGTTCATTATAAATATAAATGGAAAGTTTAAAAGTATTTAGTTTGTTCTAATCTAGAAGTAGCATTTAATTTTACTATTTATGTTATATTTTTATCATCTATTTTATTATTTTGAGAAATAATATATTTATTAAAACAAAAATACATAACATTAGATAGACAACCGAAAAACTTAATATTTATTTTAACGATTTATAATATATATATATTTGAAATTTTGATATGTTATTAAATTTGTAAATTAACTTAACTAATTAGGACTAAACTAATTTAAATATCAAATTTACATTGTTTATATTGAAAATTTTCCATTTGTTACAATAGAACAAGTCTCTCAAATAATCTTTTAAAGTTTTTATAAAAAAAATTACGATTTAACCATTTATTTAGACGACCATTTGTTTCGCGTGCGCTTAACAAATATATTAACCGATTCAGTGAATCGTCCGCATGGCAGAAAAATTTAAGTTTGAGAAACTGAATACATGCTTGTAGAAAGCTGCTTGATAAAGAAAAATGGGCGTAAATATCAATTGACTGAGTTAATTAAAATATCCACCTCAGCCTAGCCAAAAAAACACCAAAATCATGTCAAGAGAATAACCTATCCCAACTGGTTAGCTATAGTGACATTTACATAGTTCTGTTCAAAGTAGTTTGGCACTACAATGTGCTCTCCAAGAATAACTCTGCTTGATAAAGAAAAATGGGCGTAAATATCAATTGACTGAGTTAATTAAAATATCCACCTCAGCCTAGCCAAAAAAACACCAAAATCATGTCAAGAGAATAACCTATCCCAACTGGTTAGCTATAGTGACATTTACATAGTTCTGTTCAAAGTAGTTTGGCACTACAATGTGCTCTCCAAGAATAACTTCATCTTTCATTGGCTTCTATAAACCCATAATAACTTCAGTAATGTACTCTTCTCGCACCCGTCCGGATCTATAATAGCAAATTTCTCCTATTTCTATTGCTAGATTAGTCTTCTTAAATAGTATCTTGTCTGCATCAAAACATATGCGGTCAAACATGAGCAAAGAAGGAGTTATGTTATTATCAACCAAGGCTTTGATTCCACTAACTCACCTTATCCTCGAAACCAAAACCAATGTTCTTAACCGTGACTATTGATCTTTCACTTGTTCTATGCTCTTAAAACCTAATTTTCATTAGCTCTTGTTCTTGGAGATTCTCAGGGATCATTTGTTTTTGCATTAGTATATCTTATTCTGTCTGGCTAGATTATCCAAAATCCCAAAACCCATTTGACTTGTTATATATGAGTACATGCCTATGTACATGCCTATGCTATATTGATTGCTAAGTCCAATACCGTTGATGTTAAATAAATAATGTACTTTGCTCTATTAGCTTTTGTCTTAGGAAGGGAGATTATTAATGGGTTGGGAGAGTTGGGTCTTTACCAAAAACATAAACATATATATAAGATTCAAGACAGAACCATGTATTTAGGCCTGCATATATAGGTTAAAGACACAACAACCAAGTACCATCACTTGTTCCTTTCAGAAACGATTGCATCTCGACTAACTTGCATATCCTCAATGTAAATTAAGTAATCCCTTGTTTATTGATTTAACTCTTCAATTTCCTGAAGCCTGCTTGAGAAGGGGCTTGTCATCACACCAGCTGAGGAAAGAAACCAAACAAACAGGTCTATGAAGAAGATTGTTTCTACTGAAACAAAAAAAAAGACAGAAGCTTACAAACCACATACCGATCAGGAATCCAGCACCACCAAACGCAGCTTTAAGAAAAGTATCCATAATTTTTAGAGACAGATAACAAACAAAAAAAAAACGGATTCCAACGGAAATTAGAACAGAAAAAATTGACTTACTTGTTGTGCCATTTAATGGTATCAAGATCCAAATGGTTTTTTGGCTCCTCAAGTAGCAGCAATTCTGGATCCTATTCACATAAACATACAATTCAGATTAGCTTCTAAGTGCAGACCATTCAGTGTGTGTTTATTCTGTTCCTACCTGAAGCTGAATATTTCTGAGTGACATTATCATTTGCTATCCACCGCTAAACGAATCCACAAGCCTTTCAGCATCCTCTGATACAAACCCTAACTTCGGTATCAGCTTACTAACTTTAACATAGACGGTGTCTAAGTTCACAGCTTAAGCTCGTCTTTGCAACAAATCAAACTCGTCTAACAACCTCCCCACAAGGTCCAAACATCAACAGACCCTTCAATAGCCTTCTTAATTTTCTCCAGCTTCTCGGTTATCTCCATCTCTTCCTTGAAAGCACGCATGAACTCTTGGATCAAGAAAGCGACTTTCATGTTGAGTTGGCCTTGATAACGTTACCTGAATCGGGTTCTTGATGATCCTGAGCTGGGTCACTCTTCCCCGCTCTGTTAATGCCTAATAACCATGCTTTCTCTCCTCTTTTAAGTTCTCATGTAACGTACTTGAGCACAGTGGCGCCTTTAGAGCTCTTCCTTATGTTCTCTAGCTTCACACCTGAGCAAACTGTGGAAGCGCAGTTGCTCGAGATAGATATCTGAATGGACTAGTACCGGAAATTTTTTAAAGACAATGAACATGATATCTAAGATCGGAACACCTGAGAATATCTAGATAAAACAGTTGAAAATTTATGAATGGCAAGGCCCGAAACTAGAAGAAAAAATAAACTTGAGATTCAAGAGCAAAAACCCACAAAAAACGTTAATTGTTTTTTGTTGAGATCTAAGATGGAAAACTTTGCTTCTAGGAGAAGCATATCGACTCCCATCAACTCCCCACCACATTTGTTTGAAGCTTTTAGCTTCCCAAAATCTCAGTAGCCTCACTTCGAGGGTGGAAGAACAGTGGCCAGCCTTCAAATCACGAAGAATAACATATGGACTATTTCTGGGATTATAGGAGTAAACCGTAGACAAAGCCTTTAGAAACAGATTAAGTAGTGTGAGAAAGGTTTGTGAATGATTCTCAGATGCTGGAGACGAACCTATATATACACGTTTCTCCACTGTCTCTAAGATGATAAGAAGAGAGTGATTACATATCGTGGGGGAGTAGTAAATGATGTTATCATTGCGTGATGGAGTTTCATCTCAACCTGAAAATCTGAATCGCCAAATAGAAATGATTCACAGCCATTGATCAATGGCGGCTAGGATGAGGCTTCACAAAATCATATTTCGCAGAGTGAAGAGAGAGAGAGGCGTGTAGACTTTACCGATTAACAGGTCTTAGACAGAAATAATCTTAGGCCACAAAGACAAAAACCCATATCGTGTAAAGCAATGTTTAACTGTTGTACACGTGTCAACTTGGGAGGCAAGAAATTAGTGACGTGACATAGCACTACTAGAGAAGAAAAACTTCTTTTATATAATAGAATGTGCCCTAATCTCCATATCAAACCCTGGACGGCTCAATTTAATAATCAATTGAATTATTCTTATTGATTACATTTGTGAATAAAACTGTCTTAATACACAGTTTGACCGATCTATCCTGAACATATACCTTGTCCAAGAAAATATCCTTTTTCTTTTAGCACAAATTTGTCATACTTGCAAGTTACTACAAATCCAGTTTTTCTTAATAGCTAATTGGAATTAAGAATTTTTTCGAAAGTTAATTGCCATAAAGTCTCTTTTTGTCAAGTTTATTACTTATATAAATAACAAACATTGACAGAATCTGAATGTTTTGAATAGTTTCAACATATATTTCAGTTCTCATAGCAAATAGCAGAAATGGCAGACCACTCCCAAACTAAATTTGAGGTGTCAACTCATTCAATCCATTGCCAATCTCATCTCCGATCCCTCAAAGATTAATATATTTGAGTTGTAACTCATACTTGAATTTCAAATCTGCTCAATAAACTAAGAGGCAAATTAGTATATAATTCAATACCAAACACAAATAGATTTCTAAATAAATAAAAGAACAGAATAGTAAATTCTGAAACTTAAACAGTGCGACTATATTAAACGCAATAGGAAAGAGTTGAGCCGAATTGATTGCTAAAACTCATGAGCTGGTCAAATGATACAATAATCTTACTGTCAATTCAAATAAATACAATAACCTTACTGATTTTTTTTTTCACTAGCAACGATAGAGATAACGAGCTATAATACTAATTAGGTGATAACCCGCACCCTGCTCAAAATAGTAATCTAATAGAGATTTTAAATTTTAGTGTATAGAAATTAGAAAATGTAAAAGTAATAGTCATATATATAATATGTTATACAATCAAAAAATATAAGGAAATTATGTATGTTTATATAAAAATAAGCTCAGAATTTCTATTAGTTTTTTTAAAAAAATTGTGTTATTCTTTAGATGTAATTAAAATATAGTTTTTGAAAGAAAAACTATAAGAATAAACAAAGACTTATATAAAATTTATTATGATTTAAGATAAAACAAAACATAGGATATATAATTATTTTTTCATAATATAAATTTTGAATATAAAATAAGACATAGGCAATAGAATAATAAAATATAACAAATTAAAAAAATGAAAAAACAACAAATGCGCCGATTAGTATTTTTTTTTTTTTGACAACGAAGTGCTGATCTATTACTCAAGTTTGAGGTAGTCTGGGATGCCAGACTAGAATAGAAAAACCAACATATAATAATTCACGATAAAAAGATCGAGCAGATTTAGCTAAAGAGTCAGCTACACCATTCTGAGTCCTAGGAACATAGATGATCTTCAAATCGGGAAAACAAATCCGCAGCGTCATGATCTTTTCTAACTCCGTTGAGAAACTTGTCCAGCCGTGGGGTCTCTAAGCATCGTTATTAACTCCTTGCAATCCGTCCCAAAGCTCTGACATGGTGAATGTTGAAGCATATTCTCCATTGCCCACCGCAGTGCTTCCAGCTCAGAGTGCAAAGCAGACTCCATTCTACTAAAATTATGCATACCCATTATCTGGCTATTTCCCATACTATCATTCTAAACCCATCCACATCCACTGAATTGGACTGTAGGTGTCCAAGAACCGTTCACCATACAGATGTCTCCCAGACTTATGGTCTGGTCGATATCTATATTTCCTCAATCTGGCAATATAGTCTGCTCATTTGCTTGGAACCAGGCTTGGCACTCACTCTCTGCATATCGCGCTAACTCCAATGGGTCTCTATCAATAGCTCTGAACAACTTATCATTTCGAGCCTTCCAAGTATACCAAATTAGCCAGGGATAAATGTTTCTGTCCATTTCCGGTTCATTATGGAATTTTTCCTCCAGAAGAGATAATCCATATTTGCATATGTGCTTTGTAATGGAAACAAGGTAGGACTGGAAGGCGTAGAAGATAAGGCCCAAACTTGCATTGCGGGTGGACACTGAAAGATTGCATGTACAACTGATTCTTCTGGTTCCCCAAATCGTGGACAGTGGTTATGACATCTCATATGTCGATAGTTCAGAGTACTTGTAACAGCCACATGATATCCTCTAGGATTCCTAAGTATGTCCCCATCCCTCCTTCATTCTGAATCCCAAGTATGTCCTTAATCTCTTTCCTAACATCCGGTCCTATTCTCTTACTAAAGAGTAGAGATGATTTATCAAAATTAATGCATTGTCCTGAGGCGTGTCCATATTTTCTGACCACTCTCATTACTTCTTCACATTCACAGGGATCCGTCTTAAAAAAGAACATGCTATCATCAGAAAATAGAAGGTGAGATACCGAAGGACACGCACGCGTGATGCGCATCCCCGTTATCTTCCCTTGATTCTCTACATGATTTAGAAGGCTAACGAGCGCTTCCGTGCATAGAATAAAAAGGAAAGGGGACAGAGGATCCCCCTGTCACAGACCTCTCTCCGGGACGATATTCCCTCTTGGCTGGCCATTCATGAAGACCTTGTACTTTACTGATGTTACTCATCGCATTATCCAGGCTATCCAGACTTCTGAGAATCCCATCTTTCTCATGGTGGCCTCAATGAAGGACCATTCCATTCTATCATATGCCTTGCTCATGTCTGTTTTAATGGCCATCCTCTTGCGGCCACCCGGGTTTTGTTCTTAAGGCATGGAACATTTCCTGAGTTATCATAATGTTGTCAGATATCTGTCTCCCAGCAACAAAGGCAGATTGGGTTTCTGAAATCCTATCTGGTAGAACCTTCTTTAATCTCTGACATAAGACCTTAGAGATAATCTTGTAACTAACATTACAAAGACTGATAGGACGTTGGTGGATCATCTGGTTCGGGTTATCTACTTTTGGAATAAGGCATAGGTTGGTATCATTTAAACTAGGAGGCAGCGTTCCTTCAAATAAGAGTTAGATCATCCTTTACAATATCCCAAAAAAATTGGTAGAACAAAGCAGTCATTCTATCCGGCTCTGGGGCTTTCTCAGGGTGCATGGAAAAAAGAGCCAACTTAACCTCCCACTCAGTGACCAGAGCTGTTAGACCTTCATTATCTGCTGGCGTAATTGTAGTGGTAACTTCAGAAAGTGCCTCATCTATCTCCTTCAGGTTTGATGATTGGAAAATGTGTCGAAAGTAACTTGTAGAAATGACAACCAGTCCTTCCTTATCCTCTACAACATTCCATCTTCATCCAGAAATTGAGTAATCATGTTCCTCGCTCTCCTCTGCTTCGTGAGCGCGTGGAAAAATTTAGTATTTCAATCTCTTTCCCTTAACCAGAACACCCTACACTTCTGTTTCTAGAAAATCTCATCCGCCTTAAGAGCGTCAGATAGTTCTTTTAAAGCTGCCGCAATCTCCTCTGTAGTGGCATCATCGTTTGAAGATACTTGGTCCACCTTTTCCTTCAACTCCTCCACAATTTTCTCTGAATTCAGATTATGTTGCCTTTTCCAATCAGATAAGGCTCGCCTGCAACTTGCAATATGCTCCATAATATTTGCATCAGGTGGCAGATCTGGGGATTTTCATCCTTCAAGTATGATTTGTCTGAGTTCCTCGTTTTGAAGCCATCTCTTATCAAATTTAAATTTTTTTGATCTTCTCGGTTTCTTTTTAAGAATATCAGCTAGGATCAGACGATGATCCGAACCCCAAAGTATCATATACTGCACTTTGGAATGAGGGAACTTCTCATGCCAGTCCTCATTGCTAACATCCCTATCAAGGCGGCATCTAACGGTAGTACTCCCTGCTCTTCTTCTTACCCATGAAAGCATGTTCCCTGTAAAAGGAAAATCCAGAATACCACAATCACTGAGCATTTGCTTAAAAGGCAAGAAGGAGCTGTCTGTACGTTTCCTGCCTCCTTCTTTCTCTTCATGACAGGTAATTTCATTAAAG